CACTCTCTATTCCCTCATGGATGCTTTGCTTGAGTTGTTTATTTAATTGCATCACAGTCACGGAAATTTCTCCCCCCTTTTGCTTCCTCATAGCTCTGCATACCCTGAATCCTGGAAAATTAATCAAACCTTTTGTTACAGGAGGCTAGGGAAATCATAAAAACCCATGAAAGTATTATAGGGTCACATATTCATCATTAACTTGACTTAGACTGTTGTATGCATTCTTATTACTTCAGGCCTACTTCTTCTAATGTTTTTCTAATTTTTAGTCTAATTAAACTGATGAAAATGATAAGTAGCAGTATTGCTAGTACTTCTAAATTCTAAATTCTAAATTTTAACTCTTAAATCTCACTGTTCTTTAATTAATAAATCAAATGTTGTTCAATCCTAATACACAATTTCTTTCGCTTATGATATTGCAGAGATGTAACTCTCCACTGTTGGCTTAGTTACAAATGTACTACTTTTTTTACCTGTAAGGCCATCCTCTGAATTGAGATGCACTTCTGATGGGGGCTTAAATTGGGCAATATCGACTTTTTTTTACTTTAAATAGGCTTTGACTAATTGCCCTATTGCCTATTACTAATTGCCTCCATTGCCAGGTGTTCAGTCACTTCCCTTGGTTTTGATGTTGTACATTGATGTTGTAGTAGCTGGTCCAACTTTCCTTCTATGTTATCAGGTGAAGCTGTGTGGGATTATTCCCTGACCTTTGGTGGGGTTGTTTTTGCTCTCTCCTTGGCCTCTTCAAAGGTTTCATAGGACAGGGCCATTCTTTGGACTTGTCTTGAACTGTAAGACTGACGAAGACTAAGGTGAACAGCACCGTCATTTTGTGACATTTTGGACTCTAGTTCTTTTTTTGATTGCCTTTGCTCATTTCTCCTTATTTTTTTCTCTTCAGTAGGTGAAGACTTCTTTTGAAGAACAGCTTCAGGGACAAGCACTAGAATGTCACTAAGTGATTTTTGAAAGTTTTCCTGGCATTTTTCATTGTAAGTGGCATATATTGCTTCTCCAATGCTTTTTAATTTCCTTTTTGTGACCTTAGGTTCTCTCTGACGTTGTCTCTTGACATTTGTGTTAAGTTCAGTCAGAGGTCCCTTCCTAGCCCCTTTGCAAAACTTACTTAAAAGGAAGGTAGATTGTAATTGAGAGTTGAATAAAAGACAGGCCTGGCAGCTGGTCAGCGAGTAATCTTTTTTCCCTTTTTTACTTATTACTTTGCCCTCATTCCAGTTCTTTGAGGAAAATGCTGTTAGGTATGCTTCTTTTTCGGTTTGCTTCTCCAGTTGTGAAATTTATCATCAATGGTTCTCTAATGCCGGATGAAGTCTTCCCATTTTATGTGTAGCTCAGGGTATTCTTGAAAATGTTCATTAAAGATTTTAAATCTATCTTGCAGCAATCTAGCAGTAAACTTTGCATTTCCTTCACCGGGAATCCCTTCAGTTTTGCTTAAACTTTTAGTTTCTCTAAGAAACACTCTTGCCCAAGCACAGTCAATCTTTAAAGGCATCTTTGTTGCCTTGGCAGAGGATATGGCATTTGATATTGTGTTCTAATTAAACACAAGTTGGAACTCTCCACGCCGCTACTTGAACTAGCTAACTGCTCGAAATTTAAGACAAATTGCGCGCCAAAAACTGAGGAGCTCATGTAACATGTAATACGAGCCGCGTTTACAGAACTCTTTATTCATTCGTGAACTAATACAAAGTCTACAAAGGTTTGAATGGACCATTGCCATTCTTCATCGATTTTTTATCAAAGAATTATGGAAATATAAAGAAAACACTACCTTGAAATGTATTTTGTAGCCTAAAAGAACACTGCAAATGGCTGTTAGGCACCCTAAAGTTAAAAACGACCCGATTTAATCTTAATTCGAGAGCTCGAAGAATCCTCTCCTTCGACCGCCATCTGGAAGTCTGCTTTTCAATCCATAGTTTATATAACTATATCCCCCAGAAAAAGGGCATAAATACAATTAAGAGCTAAATGTCAGCAAGCATTAGACAAACAGCGGCAAGTCTCCTAAAATTTACTTTCACATCTACTTTCATATTTTGTAGCCCATCGTGTTCTAATAATTGTGGTGTAGTTTTTTTTTTGTGAAAATTTATTTTAGTTTTCGAGAAACAATTTTTTTCGTTCGACCGCTCAAATATGCAAATTTTTTAATATTACCCGAGTTGTGTGACCTCATGTAACGAATATACTTGACCTCCGGTATTTCTGTCAACATAATCCGTTGTTTTATCATCTAAACTTAATCCCCTGTCATTATTGAAGCTGGCAAAGAAATATTTATTTTTTGGTGAATATTTTTGTCCGACATACTTTTTCTATCTCGAAAAGTAGCATCAAAACAAAGACAGTTTTAACAATGACCGATATGACAGAATCTGCCAAGCTTCGAGCTTTTAAAAGACAAAAGGATGGTTAAAAAGTTACTGTAAAAATTTCCTTGTGTATTTGTGTTCTTCTATCTTGAGACGAACTCAAAGTCCGGCAAAATTTACTTGCTAGCGAATATGAAATATACCGTCATGGTGTGCCTACTTGTCGCCACCGTTTACTGGCATAAATCACTACAAACTATATAAAAAAAAAACTAACATAACACTCTTACCTTGTTTATTTATGATTTTATGAACTGTTTTGATGATCAGGTCATGCTCTACTACATTCTAGCCAGATTTGAGTTCCAGTTTATATATCATCTCCATCTTATTATATCAGTTGCATGACAAGCGTGACACATATAAATTCAAAGATGCATCAATCTCCGAAATACCAAGAGATGGCTTTTGTTCCTTTTTACATGATACCTAGAAAAACCTTTCAGAAACTACTACATTTAGAAAACTAAATCAATGATTCCTTTGCCGGCCGAAGTCAAAGAAGGGTTACAAAAGTCAATTTGATTGACAAGCTACAAACTGATTTAGGTAATTATCTGTTGTGTAAGCGTCTCATCTTACATGCTGACATGGAGATTTGCTCTTCATTTAAATCGTTCGCTGGTGGAACATGTGGGTTTAGTTATCGAGAAGACCGAAGTTGCATATCTCAAGTCGTTCCCTTGCATAGTTGTAAACAAGACATTTCAAGTCACTTGCGGAGCTGCAAGTTTTCAGATCCAGAAAATGAAGTTGATCTTATTTTGTCGCTTGCCGGAATCTTCGAGACGCTAACAGATACCGATGATTTTACAATTTGCCCCACACATAGATGTTGGGTAGAGTTGTGGTTCCAATAGTAGATGTAGAGTGTCTAAAGAGGTGTCCGTCCATTGCAAAAGTAAGGTTAAGTCGATTCCAAAAGCCGATAGGGGAATTGACAAGCGTTTATCACAGGTAGTAATCAAGATGTCTGGAAAGTTCATACAGCCTGGCTCCGGTAAGTAGGCTACTTACCACTGTGAGCAAAATTACGCGTCCCATCAGACTTAAGTCTCGATTGAGAACTGGTCAAAAGGCTAACAAAAATCCAGACAGAGGCGGAGTTTTCTATACTAATGTCTGAACACTCTGTAATTATGCACACGGTGGTAAAGGGCCCTTCCGCACAAACCACTAGACGCTGACAAAACTTGTTTCTCTTCGCCCAAAATCGCATCAAAATTTTTCCATGCTAAATTTCAAGTGTGCTGCACGTATCATCACCTCCGGGGGACACATTTACATAAGAGGGCGGGGGTACGTGCCGGCAATTTCGAATACGACCCCTATAAATTATAAAAGGTACCTGAGTCTTATTTGTGTGGGAGTGGCAACAATTGATATCTACCCCTAAAAAGTACCAACTCAAAAGCAAAATTGACCTGCAAGGTCTCGGAGTTGAACCGTCTAAGTTTGGTTTGCACTCTCTAAGATCTACAGGAGCCACTCTGGTAGCAAAAAAAGGAGTAAATGACAGGGTTTTCCAACGACATGGTCGTTGTTGACTAGATTTCATTTTACACTATAAACAACAAGAAAGACCACTTGCTTTCGAGTACTGCCATAGTTTCATTGAAAGGTGCTTCTATAAAGTTTGTTTTCTAAGGGTTTTACTCTTTAATTTCCTAATCTGGATATTTAGATGACAGTGTTGTTAATGACGAAAAGTTGTACGGGGAGATACTATTTCTGAGCTTTGCAAACACTTGCAAAGCTGCAGTCATCATTTAAGCTACAGTCATCTTATTTTGTGATTCTATCGGGTGAATGCGGCCTCTTTCGTTTTGTTATTCATATCCGAGCTCACCTGAATAAAGAACAACTGGCGGAGAATAACTCTTAACCCGCCCGTAAAGCAAAATTTACGCATGACTTTCACTTTCAAAAGCTCCTTGTTTGATATTTATTAGCTTCTTTCCGACCATTGTAACTGTCAGCCAATATTGCTACCACTGATCTTAGTTTTCAAATATCAGATGTGCAAACAGAAAGATCGAGTTTAGATCTTAACATAAGGAAGCTGCCAATTGCGGAAAAAGTAACAACGCAACACTGCTTAGATTTGCCTCGTGACAGCCAAGTTTCAGAGAGGAAACAAATTATTTCTGCCAAATCCACCGGAATCAACCCTGCACGTAGCTTACCGCTGTTTCCCTCTCTAGACTCACAGTATTAACACATGCATTTTGCTCTTAGTTGAAGTACCCTTACCTGAAGCCGGTAGCAGCGCTCCAAGCAGTAGAGGTGCAAAGAGAAAGTTCATGTTTTACTTGCGAAGCTATCTGCTCGAGAGCTTGCCTAAAGAACCGCTTCGACTGCTTCCTGCACGGGATTGAAATAATTTTTACTTTCGAAAGGATCATGATGTAATGTTTCTGCTAAAAAAAGTGTCGTAAAAGTGGGGAGGGGTTCATTGCAATAAATAAAGTGGGAATGCGGAAGTTGTAGATTAACTCACGAGAACATTGTAATAGAAAGCGAGTTACATTTGTCTGGAATTTTTAAGCAGAGTTCTTAGAGAGAATAGGACATCTATCCTTAAGTAATTTTTTTGCTACTGCGACACTCAAGGGGTTTTATCAGGTAGCCTGTTGCAAACACGGTGATATCATAACGTATCAGCTCCCTAGCAACAGGTTATTAAATAGTAGAACAGAGAGATAGGAAGTATATTAACTCAGACGCGGAATTTATACGCCACGCATGATGGTTTATAAACAAAGCTTTGAATAAGGATACTATGGTGGGAGAGAGAGCGATACAAACGATTGTCATTATCGTGCTGTAGTTCCACCGATGCCTACTGCTTGGAAGACACTTGGCAATCATACCTAAGGATTATATGTCGTTCATAGCGCTTACGTGTGCAATATGATTCAATAATTCAGTATTCTCCAGGAAAAAAGGCAGTTGAGGAACTTTTGTTTTGTTGCATAATAACACTAAGTATGTGATGTTAGACACCTAAGACCTAAAAAAGAAACAAAAAAAGAAAACATTAAATGAAACCATGATATTTCTGTTGCGCGGTTGATTCTGTTGCATCAAGATTATTTGGAAAGTTAATAACTTTCTGCGCGTGTTCATTCTTCTCTGCCAATTCTTTAGTCAGAAACAGCTCGTCGTTGAAATTGTCTCGGTCTCGGAACGTATTTATCTAAACTGTGGATATCAAATGCATCGACTTTTAAGTGCATTATCTTCGTGCTTACGGTAGATGCATTCGTAGCGTAGTCAATTCCAGAGTTTAACGCTATCAGTGAAAAAGAAAATTATAATTCGAAAGTTTATATCGCAGAACCTTAGACACGTTAAGGCATTGTTACA